TGGCCGGCATGACTAAACACCAAGGCGCACATGGTCATGTCTACTTGCAATTTCTTGCTTTCAAACTGCTAGGTTGGCAGGAACTGGAACTAGAGATGGGAGATCACTCCATCACGCGGGTCTCGAACTGCTGAACTACTGACCTTCCACAGCCTGCAGTTCAGCGTCTTAACCACTTGAGCCACCGCAGCTCCTAGCACCCTAGCAAGAGGAAACTGTAATTATCAGTTTAAATTTATACTCAAATATATCCAACAATCAGCAGAAGCTTCCAAACAGAAAAGCCCTAGAGAGAACCTACTGTGCAGGGGACACACACCACTGAAATGCAGTCTGGCCAATTCAACTCTTGGTACACTGAAACAGGCTTCTGGGTGTACACAGCTTCTCTATATTTTGCTTGACATGTATTCCTTTTTTCTTTTTTTTTAAACCCATCCCAGCTTGGGCTGAAATCAGTCCCATTGGAGTGATGCAAGTAACCTGGTCTCAACCGCTCCAAACATGTGGATTGCATTTAAACTTTGTACCCAACATACAAAGATATTTTCCTTAGTCAGCTAAGTTAGAAAGGTATAGAACTAAGGCACAGCTGCCTTGGAATGGGCATCTCTGCTGCAGTTGTGATAGAAGACAGAGGGGTGGAAAGTAGAGCTCATATTCATGTTTTACTCTGCCAGTTTTCAGAAGCAATAGCCATGACCACACAGAGAATTTCTAAAGGACATTACCTGGCTCACCACAGTGGGAATGCCATCTCTCTACAGAACTTATGTATAACAGAAACTATAATTTTGATTGCCAGTTATCTGGAAGTTCTTGGCATTGGAAGTGGAAGGGAACCCAGGTATGGCTAATAATGTACTCCGCCATGACCATGTGCGCGACCGTTGGGCCATGCAGTCATGCAAAGTCCTGAAGCTTCGCTCTGATAGAACAATAGCCAAGCGGATCCTAGCCCACACCTATCAGAGGGCTAGGTCCGCAGCCGAGAGCCTATGGGACTCTCGGCTACTGTATATAGCCTATAGGGAAGTAGGGGGTGTGTTTTGGTGAAGGGTTTTCTGTGCATATATACCGGCCTCACTTTGTCTTGTTCTATCCGAATAAAAGTACTTTGCTGAAATCGCTCAATGCTTCTCAGTACTTTTCAGCTAAGTTTGTCCATTAGCACAGGGGGAAATCAATACACTCCCCAAGTGAAATGTCTCAAAACCAAATATTGTCAGTTACTAAGGTTCAATGTCGGACTGACTCATGGGATTGTTTGTGTACCCCATAGCTGCAGGTTGCTTCCCAGTGCAGGATTTGCCCTACGATATGTGCAGAACACATAGTTATAAGCTAGACTGGCACTGGGTGAAACCATTGTTGGAATTTGGGCATAAACACACCTCTGCAGGGGCAATAATGAATGTGAGAAGTGTTAACCAACTTGTGGATCATCTGCTTGGACCATCCGTGGGCTTGTGTTTACTAAGTATCCACGTTTTGTGTGCTATGAGCAATAAAGCCCGCAAATGGTTGCACATGTGTTTCCATTTAACTCCAACAGCCATGACTCACTGCTGGGCATTCGGCCGGCTCCACTCCCTGGCTGTCAGCAGGACTCGCCTCCATCCTGGCTTCCTGACCCTAGCAGTAACAAAACACATTGACAAAACACTAATTTAGATCTTTCTCTGCCCATAGCAAATCTCTGCACATCACTGGGGCATGTTAAAGATGTCTACTGTCACCTGCTTCTCAGCATCTGTGTTTGAGTTCAGACTGAGAACTTGGAGGAGGGGGAAATGCCACCCTAAGAGTTCAGAGATGGATGGAGTGGGTAGACAGCAAGATTCAGTGCCTGGATGAAATTCCATAGGAGGACAGAGGAGTAAGGATACAGAAAGTTTTTAAAAAGAAGGCCTCCAAAGGAGCTCTGAGCATTTCAGCTTAATAGTGAATACCAAAGTATGAAGGAATAAAAGGTCACAGAACAAGGGGCAATGATGAGAACAAGCATTTTCTTCCATAGAATTTGCTCATTAATAGTGTGGTGTCAGGCTTCATGCCCAGGCTTCTCATCAAGGCAAGAGCCACGGGCCCTTGCTGCAAAAGCACAGGTAACAGGCAGGATGTGGTGGTGGTGGTGGAAAGTGCCATAAAGTCACAGCCAGCGTATGGTGACCCCATAGGAGTTTCAAGGCAAGAGATATTCAGAGGTGGTTTGTCATTGCCTTTCTCTGTGTTGCCACGCTGGACTTCCTTGTTGGTCTCCCATCTGAATACTAACCAGAGCCAACCTTGCTTAGTTACTGAGATCTGTAGAGATCAGGCCAGCCTGGGTTATCCAGGTCAGGGCAAAAACAGGATATAGGGTATCACGCTCAAAGCAGAGACTCTTTAACTTTTTTCCCTTGGGAATTTCGGATTCACTGATTATCGACATGTAAGAAGAATTATAGCACTTGATACCGCTAAGAAGCTCAGTTCAGCAGAACCAAACTGGGATGCTTGGGAAGGATTGTGACAGAAGAAGCACGAGATGTTTACTTCTGTAGAAATGGAAAGAAGAGGAGGAGATTGGATTTATATCTCATCCTTCACTACCCAAAGGAGTCTCAGAGCGGCTTACAATCCCTTTCCCTTCCCCTCCCCACAACAGACACCCTGTGAGGTAGGTGGGGCTGACAGAGCTCTGAGAGAACTGCCCTTGAGAGAACTTCTCTGAAAGAACTTGTAACTGACCCAAGATCCCATCAGCAGCTGCATCTGGAGGAGTAGGGAATCAAACCTGGTTCTCCTGGATTAGAGTCCATGCTCCTAACCACTACACCAAACTGGCTCTGTGACTCTCAACTCCTTCATAGCCTGCAAAGCCTGCTTAGACTCTGTTCTGAGGGTTGAGAAATAGGGAAAGCATATTGGAAGCCAATGTTGTGTAGGCTTCTGCCTTGTGATCAAGAGATGAAACCTTTCCCTTCTATTGCTATTTATTAAAACAATGATATCTCACTTTCATTCTTGGTTCAAGGCAGCTTTCGAGAATAGTTAAACCATCCCCAGCTAAAACAAAGATAAAACAGCAAGCCCAATACCTGGCATAGTAAGGGCAGGAACTGATCCTGTTTTAAGTTTGATTTGTGACAATGACAACAGTTTCCCGGGAGCCAGGACTCACTGGGGTTAGCCCTGGGAATTGGTTTCAGTGCCATGCTTCTGCTCTAAATGTGTGATATATAATGAATGGGAATGATCCTCTCTCTCACACCAGTATAACCATCACAAAGCCTCCGAAAATCTGGGATGAGAATATTGGTCAAAGGAGTTCTAGAAAAATAACACATAACCCAGATTCATCATTTTGGTGCATCAACACCAGGAGTTTTAGAAAGCTACATGTTTCACTAGGTTGGAGAGAGCTTCCAAGTCATAGGGCAAAATTTCTAGGCAAGTTTACTGTCTGGCAATTTTTATGCTAGCTTGTGCTCTGGCATGCCTAGACAATTTACAGTGCAGTCCTAAGGAATGTTACACTCTTCTAAGTCCATTGAAGTCAACTCTGTTCAGGACTGTGCTGTCACTTGTGGAATTCACTGCCACAGGATGTGGCACTAAAATTGTCTTTAAAAGGTGAGGACAGGTGGAACAATGGCCTTAGCCATGATTAGTAAATGGAACCTCCAAAGGCCATAACCTCCCAAATGCCAGCACTGGGGAGGGTAACAACAGAAGGAGACTTTGGCCTCCATGACCTGCTTCCATGACCATCTTGCTGGCCACTGTGTGTGAAACAGGACTAGATGGCAAAACAGAATTTGATGGACCACCCAGCTTGGCTGCTCACAGGCAAGAGGTGGAATTTGCCCCTAGGGATTACCACTCGGACATCACAGGCGAGAGGTGGAATTTGCCCCTAGAAGTCCAAGGCCACCACCCCAGGGCATAACTTTTTAAAGAGCCCCTAAGGAGAGCTGGGGTGAGCCGGAATGACCTCTCGGACATCACAGGCGAGAGGTGGAATTTGCCCCTAGGAGTCCAAGGCAACCACCCCGGGGCTCAGGGAGGTGGGGAGCGTTTTGCCCTCCCCCCCACAGCCGTTGCAGCTACTGCCGACCGCAGTGGCGGCCATAACTTTTAAAAGAGCCCCTAAGAAGAGCTGGGGTAGCCGGAATGACCTCTCGCGTGTGATGACGCGAGAGGTGGAATTTGCCCCTAGAAGTCCAAGGCCACCACCCCGGGGCTCAGGGAGGCAGGGGAACGTTTTGCCCCTCCCACCTCCTGCGGCTGTTGCAGCTGCCGCCAACAGCAGTGGCAGCCATAACTTTTAAAAGAGCCCCTAACAAGAGCTGGGGGAGCCGGAATGACCTCTCATGTGTGCTGACGCGAGAGGTGGAATTTGCCCCTAGGAGTCCAAGGCCACCACCCCGGAGGTGGGGGAATGTTTCACCCCCCCTCATGGCCATTGCAGCTGCCGCTGACAGCGGCCGCGGCCATCGCTTTTTAAAGAGCCCCTAACGAGAGTGACCTCTGGGCAATATTGCTTTTGGGCAATCATGGATTCTCTGTTGGCAATTATGTCCCTATGAACAATCATGGATTCTCTATTGGCAATTATGTACTCCATTATCCCCTATGGGCAAGCGTCCTCTCCATTATTCCCTATGGGCAGTCATGGATTCTCTATTGGCATTATGGATTCTCTATTGGCAATTATGTACTCCATTATCCCCTATGGGCAAGCGTCCTCTCCATTATTCCCTATGGGCAGTCATGGATTCTCTATTGGCATTATGGATTCTCTATTGGCAATTATGTACTGCACTATCTCCTCTGGGCAAGCTTACTCTCCATTATTCTGTAGGGGCACTCATGTATTCCCTATGGGCAATCGCTGTCCTTAGTTGTAGTACGTCCCCCATAAATCTTGCCCTAATATCTGTCAGCGCGCTTGGCGCTGCACAAACCGAAGTAGGGACTACTCCCCCTCCCGCGCCTGGGCTTGCCTGCAGTTAGACGGAGAGCTCCAGCCAGAGGCAGCTGTCAAGCGAAGAAAGCCCGCGTAAAGGAGCAGAAGCCGAGCCTCGCCGGGGCCGGAGGCGAAGGAAGGGAGAGACGCTCAAGAGCGCTGACGGGAGTAGGCGAGCCGCCCGCTCTGGCCCCGTGCCACCGAGAGGAGGGGCAGCGAATCCCCAGAGCCCATTAAAAAGCCAGGCTTAGCAGAAGCCAGGCGAAGCAAACACCTCCATAGAAGGCAACAGCAGAGCGGCCGCGGCTACCGAGAGCGCCTTTCCCAGCGGCCGGATCCTTCTCCTCCTCCCCAGCGAGGGGCCCCCAGCGAGTCAAACTTTCAGGGCTTCGCCTGCTGGAACCCCTGAGCTTCCGCCCTCCCCTCCCCAGGGTCGCCGCAGACGCAGAGCCCAGCCATCGAGCGTGCGTGTGCGCGCGCGCGCGCCTGAATGAAGCGGCTGGAGCGGTGAGCAGCGAATCTCGCCCGCCCTCGCTTGCCCTGCAAGATGAGTGCTACGCTCCCCAGCCTTGTGGCCTGGCTGGCCGTTTTGCTCCTGGGAAGAACGGACCGCCTCGCCGACGCCTGCAGCTGCTCTCCGGTGCATCCGCAACAGGCGTTTTGCAATGCAGATGTAGGTAAGGAAAGGACGCCCACCCGCCCTTCTCTGCGGCTCCCCTAGTGGCTTCTTTTCGTGGCGTGAGCCAGCCCCGTATGTCTTTCTGCCTTGTCTCGCCCTGCAAACTCACTTGTTAACAGCCAAAACAACCCCACCCCTTTATCCTTGCAAAGACAAGAAAAAAAGGACCGCGGATGTGCGGGGAGGGGAGTGAGGAGGATAAGTGCATTCTCCCCGGCCCCAGATAAGTCCGGCTAGCTTTCATTGTTAACGAGGGTTTCGTCAGATTGCCCTTCCGCCGAGTAACCCCCCACCCCCGTTTATAAAACACGGTCCTTTCCCCCCCCCCTTTTTTCGCCTCCTTCCCCACGCCCAAACACGCTTCCTCTGACCCGATCCACAGGAATTCTCTGGAAAGCACAAAGGCAACCACGGCCTCAAATTCCTTTTTTTCTGGCGACGGCTCTCTGCCTGCAAGATCTAGGAGGCTGCTGGAAGCTGGTGGAAAGTGGAAGGGAAGCAATTAGGAGATCAAAACTTCACAGAAAAGTAGGAACACCTTCCAAGAGCTACAGACGCAGAAAGGGGAAGAATGCTTCTCCCCGATTTACATAGGTTAATTATGTAAACAAATGCACATTTGAGAGGAGCTATTTCTATATTGGAAGGGGAGGCATCCCCATGTCTCACCTGGGCCCAGCAAACCTCCTTCCAGTTGGCAACCCTTGTGCAGCCCTTCAGGCTGCTGGGCTGTTCTAGTTTAAATTGGCATGGGCACAAAAGCTTTTGTTTATCTCTCTTGATGTGCAGATTGCCACTATCCCTGTTTTGGGATTCTCTCACACATGCATATCCTGAAGCAAGGCAGTTCCCTTTGAATGGATCTATTTGGAAAAACCTCAGAATGAAATGCTGTTTCAGCCTTTGACCTACTACAGACCAGAGGAAACCAGAGAGACATATGGAGGGAGGTGTGGAAGGATATGAGTCTACCTCTTGGCTGATGGGAACAGCAGAGGCTGTGGGATATGAGCAAGCTGGGTCGGCACAAAGCAGAAGCTCGTTTCTCATCTTCTTACTGCATATAAATATCTTCTGTCTCTTAAGAGCCTGTCTCCCAGGAGCAGCTTAGCCCGGTTGCCATTTTTGCTGCATTCATGCCAGCCTGCTTTTGCCTTCAGGTGCATTTAGCAAACCCCTGGATACCCAGATTACTAGGAAAATGGCATTCATTCTTATTGTAGCCAAAAGGCCTCTCCTTGCCCCATCAACATATCCTTCCTGTGCAGCAATCAAACGAGTCCGCTGTTGCTTAAAAAACCCTCATCTTTCATCATGTCCAGGGCCTCTACTTATTGGTTATTCCCTCTCCCAGGAAATAACTTGAGTCATACTGTTTGAAGGGAGGCATAAAGTCAAGACACTATTCCTCCATTAAGAACTCAAGCTATGTGCAAAAGTTTGCATCGCAAGAGGCTGTGACTGGGCTGGCAGGTTGCCTGCTTAGCACTCATGTCAATGGATTTACTTTAGAATCATTTATTTTGGAGAAAGCTGAGAAATAGGTGTGATACCCTCTTGTCTTCCAAGCATCCTCTGTCGGACCATGTTGTTCAAATAGGGTGTAACTTGAGACCAGTCTCTTCAAGCCCACAGAGCCTGTTTTCAGGTGTAGCCCCGGAAGATATGAGGAAAGTGCCTCTGAGCATATGTCTTTCTCTAACGTACTGGGTAAGTGGGGTTGATCCTCAAACATCTTGCCCTTTAAGAAATTAACTGGTGCAAACCAATGGATATTTATTGCTCAAAAGGAGACGAGAGCGTCTGTTCAACTCTGGTAATGTTTAGAACAAAGACTGTTTTGGGGAGGCTGGATAACTCTTTTCCTTCTACCTGCTGCCTTTAGTAGCTTTGAGAACTACAGGATTTTGGAGACTGTTCACAGCTGTCCCTCCTCTCCTTTCTTGCAACTGAACATAATGCATGTTGGGTACTATCTTCTGAGTGTAAATGGAGAGATGTCTTCACCATGGCCTCCAGCCAAGCATGGCTGAGCAGCCTCTTATGAGACAAATTAGTATTGCATGTTTCCATCTTGATTCAATCAAAGCCTTCATCTGCCGGCTCAGCAAAAGGCTGAAAAGAGGGCTTCATCATTCCTTTTTATGATGTCATCGGGTGTCCCTTTGCAGTTGGCAATTGACAGAAAGAGCTGAATAGAGTGAGATTGCTTTGCCCTTCTAGCTTGGCCACCTTGTGCTGGGTCACTCACCAGCTGCTCTTTATTTGTAGGCGTTGTCCTCCTTCCTTCCCAATTTGCTCAACTTGGAAGCTGCTAAAAGGCAGGGCCTGGCAGGGGCTGGAACTCAAATTCCTTTTTCCATGAATAATCCCCTTATTAAATCTTAACATATTCAACAAACAGCCCTGGCCCTAGCTTCCAGATCTCACTCCAGAAATGGAATTTGGAAATACTTTGGCAGTGCACCCACTCTGCTACAATGATGGTGTCAATTAGAAGATCCAGACTCATATATTCTCTCTCTCTCTCTCTCTCTCTCTCTCTCTCTCTCTCTCTCTGTTTCTCTTTCTCTCTCTCTCTCTCTCTCTCTCTCTCTTTCTGTCCCAAGCTGCCTTCCCAGATGTTCAGAAAATGGAGTGGCTGCTGTCAGCAGCAGCTGTCTGTGGTTTCAATTTGCTTTCCAATATCTTTTCCTTCCATAGGAGTAGACATTTCTGAGATATGAAAATAAGTTACTTGCATTCTCCCTTGCGGACACATTCTGAGCATATGAAATCTTGTATGTGGGTCTTATGACAGCTCCTTCAATCCCTAGATCCCCATTGGGCCCCCTGTGGTCCCTGCAGAGAGCAGGAGTGAGCCCTGTTTGCAAACACATTGGTATTGGGACACTAGCCCTGGCTGTTTCAGGAGCAAACCTCCTCTTGTTTATTTATTTAGATATTTATTACTTGCTTTTCTCCCCAAAAGGGATCCCAAAAGGCTTACATTATTCTCTCTTCCTCCATTTTATCCTCACTCCAACAACCCTGTGAGGTAAGTTAGATTGAGAGAGTGACTGGCCAAAGGTCACCTAGCAAACTTCCATAGCGGAGTGAGGATTTGAACCTGGATTCCCCCAGATCCTCCAGTCTGATACTCTAACCACTGTTTCTCACTGGCTCTCTGCTGCTGGCAGCAGTCAGCCAGGACAATCTGAGTCCTCATACTCTTCCAGATCTGGAATCAGAGCATGCAGTTTAACCTGTTCACTCCTTCTTTTTAGTATTCCTTAAATTGCACATCAGAGACTAATTTATAGCAATGCAAGCCAAATGTTTTAGTGAGGAAAATGAAGAACCTAATAGGAACCAGAGAGTAGAAAGAAGCAATATTGGTTATCCATAGAATATAAAACAAAGCATTTCTCGCAGGAACTCTCATAAGATTACTTCCTCTCACAAGAGTCTGGCCACCATTTTTGTTGCCTGGGAGCAGGCAACCAGAAATGGGAGCTGAATTCTCATGAGAAGAGCAAATCTCTCAGAGCTGGGGAACTGGAACATGCGGTTTGCCACACTGCTTTCAAAGAGGCCTGAGGGAACAAAGAGGTAAGAGGACTTCTCTTTGGTGGCTCCAAGGGTGGGGGTGGCCATTGGACTGGTCTCAAGTAGGCAGACAGACAGCATGTGGGAGAAGAGGCTAGCTCCAAAATCTGCTGCTTGAGGCATCTACCTCAAATCGCCTCATCATAAAGTTGGCCCTGTCAACCGGAATACAATATATGAGGCTATTTATTTGTTTATTTTATTTCATTCAATTTGTCTCCTGCCCTTCCCGCCATGGCAGGCTCAGGGCGGCTCACGTTAAAAGGTAAAAAACAATAAAACAACAATTCATTACATACAAAGTATCTTAAAATTCATTTTTGTTACAAATAGCAAATCACAAATAAGTACAATTAAGAGCAGTTAAAGTACTAGGGGTGGTAGCTGTGGTCATGATGTAACAGATATCGCAAAAGCGTGGCCAGAGTATGTTACTATTGACATCGCAGGCAGTTGCTGTTGTCAGGAGGGCCTTATCCCAGTTAATTTTTGTTGGTAGCGGCTCCTACTTGAAGGCCTGGTGGAAGAGCTCCGGGAGGCATCTTGTTGTAGTGTTTGCTGTCTTCTTATGTGAAGGACCCCCCACCCTTTATTATATCATTAAATAATATTTTCATGTAATACCCTACTGATAGCTGCTCCTGGGGTTTCCTTCCAAAACTCATAAAAGCTGCTCAAGACAGACACAGAGGCCCATGTCATCATGGCTCAATAGGAGGCTTCCTTGATACTTTGCCTGAGGGAAGGGAGGAAACATCACAGAATGGGTGCCACCCATGGGGAAAGGATCGATTTAGAACCAGATGGGAAGTGTAAGTCACAGTAGGAACCAGTGTATGAGGAACAAGTGGCATAGAAATCCTTGGTAAAAGCCTAAAAAAAATATGCAGCAACATATATCTGAGTAGGGGAAGGGAGGGAGGAAAGAACCAGCCACATGAGCTCCAGTATTGGAGAGGAATAAAATCCTTTCCCCTCTCATCACTGAGCAGGTAGGCAGTCGGGTGGCTTTCTGGGACCACAAGAAAGAGTGCAGGGATAAGGAGCAGGGAAAGTCAGATGAGGCCAGATATTTTATTTCTCCTGTCTTTGCTGCCCAGATTCCATTCCTACAAACCACACTTTGTGATAGGAAGTTCCCATTCTTACCTTTGTACATCTTCCCACAGAACTGGCAGTTGAAAGGCTCTCATTTTATAGGTGATTGCTGTTCACAGCCAGTTTCCCAAGATGCTAGTGGAAGGGTGTTGTGAATAGAGGCATAGAAGTTACAGTGAATGGCCTAGAAATAAATGTGGGTTGGCAAGAAATGCTGACAGGAAACTGTCAGCATAACCACTGAAGAATCTCCCTATGTCTGTCTATATGTTGAGCTCTCTAACTTGAGTGCATGTAAGGTTTTGCGGGGGG